TGCCTATTTATCACTGTGTTGTTGTGTGTACTGCCTATTTATCACTGTGTTGTTGTGTGTACTGCCTATTTATCATTGTGTTGTTGTGTGTACTGCCTATTCATCACTGTGTTGTTGTGTGTACTGCCTATTTATCACTGTGTTGTTGTGTGTACTGCCTATTTATCACTGTTGTTTTGTGTACTGCCTATTTATCACTATGTTGTTGTGTACTGCCTATTTATCACTTTGTTGTTGTGTGTACTGCCTATTTATCACTGTGTTGTTTAGTGTACTGCCTATTTATCAGTGTTGTTGTGTGTACTGCCTATTTATCACTGTGTTGTTTTGTGTACTGCCTATTTATCACTGTGTTGTTGTGTGTACTGCCTATTTATCACTGTGTTGTTTTGTGTACTGCCTATTTATCACTTTGTTGTTGTGTGTACTGCCTATTTATCACTGTGTTGTTTAGTGTACTGCCTATTTATCAGTGTTGTTGTGTGTACTATTTATCACTGTGTTGTTTTGTGTACTGCCTATTGATCACTGTGTTGTTGTAGGTACTGCCTATTTATCACTGTGTTGTTGTGTGTACTGCCTATTTATCACTGTGTTGTTTTGTGTACTGCCTATTTATCACTTTGTTGTTTTGTGTACTGCCTATTTATCACTGTGTTGTTGTGTGTACTGCCTATTTATCACTGTGTTGTTTTGTGTACTGCCTATTTATCACTGTGTTGTTGTGTGTACTGCCTATTTATCACTGTTGTTTTGTGTACTGCCTATTTATCACTGTGTTGTTGTGTGTACTGCCTATTTATCACTGTGTTGTTGTGTGTACTGCCTATTTATCAGTGTTGTGTGTACTGCCTATTCATCACTGTGTTGTTTTGTGGACTGCCTATTTCTCACTGTCTTTTTTTGTGTACTACCTAGTTATCACTGTGTTGTTGTGTGTACTGCCTATTTATCACAGTGTTGTTTTGTGTACTGCCTAGTTATCACTGTGTTGTTGTGTGTACTGCCTATTTATCACTGTGTTGTTTTGTGTACAGCCTAGTTATCACTGTGTTGTTGTGTGTACTGCCTATTTATCACTGTGTTGTTGTGTGTACTGCCTATTTATCACTGTGTTGTTGTGTGTACTGCCTATTTATCACTGTGTTGTTGTGTGTACTGCCTATTTATCACTGTGTTGTTGTGTGTACTGCCTATTTATCACTGTGTTGTTGTGTGTACTGCCTATTTATCACTGTGTTGTTGTGTGTACTGCCTATTTATCACTGTGTTGTTTTGTGTACTGCCTATTTATCACTATGTTGTTGTGTACTGCCTATTTATCACTGTGTTGTTGTGTGTACTGCCTATTTATCACTGTTTTGTTGTGTGTACTGCCTAGTTATCACTGTGTTGTTGTGTGTACTGCCTATTTATCACTGTGTTGTTGTGTGTACTGCCTAGTTATCACTGTGTTGTTGTGTGTACTGCCTATTTATCACTGTGTTGTTTTGTGTACTGCCTATTGATCACTGTGTTGTTTTGTGTACTGCCTATTTATCACTGTGTTGTTGTGTGTACTGCCTAGTTATCACTGTGTTGTTGTGTGTACTGCCTATTTATCACTGTGTTGTTGTGTGTACTGCCTATTTATCACTGTGTTGTTGTGTGTACTGCCAATTTATCACTGTTGTTTTGTGTACTGCCTATTTATCACTATGTTGTTGTGTATTGCCTATTTATCATTGTGTTGTTGTGTGTACTGCCTATTCATCACTGTGTTGTTGTGTGTACTGCCTACTTATCACTGTGTTGTTGTGTGTACTGACTATTTATCACTGTTGTTTTGTGTACTGCCTATTTATCACTGTGTTGTTGTGTGTACTGCCTATTTATCACTGTGTTGTTGTGTGTACTGCCTATTTATCACTGTGTTGTTGTGTGTACTGCCTAGTTATCACTGTGTTGTTGTGTGTACTGCCTATTTATCACTGTGTTGTTTTGTGTACTGCCTATTGATCACTGTGTTGTTTTGTGTACTGCCTATTTATCACTGTGTTGTTGTGTGTACTGCCTTTTTATCACTATGTTGTTGTGTACTGCCTAGTTATCACTGTGTTGTTGTGTGTACTGCCTAGTTATCACTGTGTTGTTTTGTGTACTGCCTATTTATCACTGTGTTGTTTTGTGTACTGCCTATTTATCAATGTGTTGTTGTGTGTACTGCCTATTGATCACTGTGTTGTTGTGTGCACTGCCTATTTATCACTGTTGTTTTGTGTACTGCCTATTTATCACTGTGTTGTTGTGTGTACTGCCTATTGATCACTGTGTTGTTTTGTGTACTGCCTATTTATCACTGTGTTGTGTGTACTGCCTATTGATCACTGTGTTGTTGTGTGTACTGCCTATTTATCACTGTTGTTTTGTGTACTGCCTATTTATCACTATGTTGTTGTGTGTACTGCTGTGTTGTTGTGTGTACTGCCTATTTATCACTGTGTTGTTGTGTGTACTGCCTATTTATCACTGTGTTGTTGTGTGTACTGCCTATTTCATGTGTTGTTGTGTGTGTGCCTATTTATTGTGTGTACTGCCTATTTATCACTGTGTTGTTGTGTGTACTGCCTATTTATCACTGTGTTGTTTTGTGTACTGTCTATTTATCACTGTGTTGTTGTGTGTACTGCCTATTTATCACTGTGTTGTTTTGTGTACTGCCTATTTATCACTGTGTTGTTGTGTGTACTGCCTATTTATCAGTGTTGTTGTGTGTACTGCCTATTTATCACTGTTGTTTTGTGTACTGCCTATTTATCACTGTGTTGTTTAGTGTACTGCCTATTTATCACTGTGTTGTTGTGTGTACTGCCTATTTATCAGTTGTTTTGTGTACTGCCTATTTATCACTATGTTGTTGTGTACTGCCTATTTATCACTGTGTTGTTGTGTGTACTGCCTATTGATCACTGTGTTGTTGTGTGTACTGCCTAGTTATCACTGTGTTGTTGTGTGTAGTGCCTATTTATCACTGTGTTGTTCTGTGTACTGCCTATTTATCACGGTGTTGTTGTGTGTACTGCCTATTTATCACTGTGTTGTTGTGTGTACTGCCTAGTTATCACTGTGTTGTTGTATGTATTGCCAATTTTCACTATGTTGTTGTGTACTGCCTATTTATCACTTTGTTGTTGTGTGTACTGCCTAGTTATCACTGTGTTGTTTTGTGTACTGCCTATTTATCACTATGTTGTTGTGTACAGCGTATTTATCAATGTGTTGTTGTGTGTACTGCCTAGTTATCACTGTGTTGTTGTGTGCACTGCCTATTTATCACTGTTGTTTTGTGTACTGCCTATTTATCACTGTGTTGTTGTGTGTACTGCCTATTTATCACTGTTGTTTTGTGTACTGCCTATTTATCACTGTGTTGTTGTGTACTGCCTATTGATCACTTTGTTGTTGTGTGTACTGCCTATTTATCACTGTGTTGTTTAGTGTACTGCCTATTTATCAGTGTTGTTGTGTGTACTGCCTATTTGTTGTTGTGTGTATCACTGTGTTGTTGTGTGTACTGCCTATTTATCACTGTGTTGTTGTGTGTACTGCCTAGTTATCACTGTGTTGTTGTGTGTACTGCCTATTTATCACAGTGTTGTTGTGTGTACTGCCTAGTTATCACTGTGTTGTTGTGTGTACTGCCTATTTATCACTGTGTTGTTGTGTGTACTGCCTATTTATCACTGTGTTGTTGTGTGTACTGCCTATTGATCACTGTGTTGTGTGTACTGCCTATTGATCACTGTGTTGTTGTGTGCACTGCCTATTTATCACTGTTGTTTTGTGTACTGCCTATTTATCACTGTGTTGTGTGTACTGCCTATTTATCACTGTGTTGTTGTGTGTACTGCCTATTTATCACTGTGTTGTTGTGTGTACTGCCTATTTATCACTGTGTTGTTGTGTGTACTGCCTAGTTATCACTGTGTTGTTGTGTGTACTGCCTATTTATCACTGTGTTGTTGTGTGTACTGCCTATTTATCACTGTGTTGTTGTGTGTACTGCCTATTTATCACTGTGTTGTTGTGTGTACTGCCTATTTATCACTGTGTTGTTGTATGTACTGCCTATTTATCACTGTGTTGTTGTGTGTACTGCCTATTTATCACTGTTGTTTTGTGTACTGCCTATTTATCACTATGTTGTTGTGTACTGCCTATTTATCACTGTGTTGTTGTGTGTACTGACTATTTATCACCGTGTTGTTTGTGTACTGTCTATGTATCACTGTTTTGTTGTGTGTACTGCCTAGTTATCACTGTGTTGTTGTGTGTACTGCCTATTTATCACTGTGTTGTTTTGTGTACTGCCTATTGATCACTGTGTTGTTTTGTGTACTGCCTATTTATCACTGTGTTGTTGTTTGTTCCTGCCTATTTATCACTGTGTTGTTGTGTGTACTGCCTAGTTATCACTGTGTTGTTTTGTGTACTGCCTATTTATCACTGTGTTGTGTGTGTGTACACTGTGTTGTTGTGTGTACTGCCTATTTATCACTGTGTTGTTGTGTGTACTGCCTAGTTATCACTGTGTTGTTGTGTGTACTGCCTATTTATCACTGTTGTTTTGTGTACTGCCTATTTATCACTATGTTGTTGTGTACTGCCTATTTATCACTGTGTTGTTGTGTGTACTGCCTATTTATCACTGTGTTGTGTGTACTGCCTATTGATCACTGTGTTGTTGTGTGTACTGCCTATTTATCACTGTTGTTTTGTGTACTGCCTATTTATCACTATGTTGTTGTGTACTGCCTATTTATCACTTTGTTGTTGTGTGTACTGCGTGGTATATAATAAGCAATCTTTAAATGACTATAGCTTTTGACATAAGGTTAAAAAACATGAATCTTGACTAAGCCTACTCCCCCAATCTATCCTTTCCTTACTCATTCCACACACTATCTAATCACTCAGGCCGCTCCCCACCTGCCTACGCCTGCCTTGTTTATTCTGCTCACCTGGAACACATTATCTTTTTGATCTAAGACTTTATTATCTACATTTTCCACAGCCTTTATTGAGCGCAGGTCGATGGAGCCTTTCACTTTACCCATTTTCTGTGGAAAAAAGGTCAATTTATGATAAAAAATTACACAAATACATTTTCTTTCATATCATTTCAGCTCCTGGTTTTTGGTTTTTACCATCACCAGAAATTGTTAGAGATATAAGTACATAAAAGATAGTATTGGACTAGCCCACAGGTCTACCTCAAGTGTACAGACAGATACTTAAATCTCTATACCTGTGGACTAGTGTACAGACAGATACTTAAATCTCTATACCTGTGGACTAGTGTACAGACAGATACTTAAATCTCTATACCTGTGGACTAGTGTACAGACAGATACTTTAATCTCTATACCTGTGGACTAGCCCACAGGTCTACCTCAAGTGCACAGACAGATACTTAAATCTCTGTACCTGTGGACTAGTGTACAGACAGATACTTAAATCTCTATACCTGTGGACTAGCCCACAGGTCTACCTCAAGTGCACCGACAGATACTTCAATCTCTATACCTGTGGACTAACCCACAGGTCTACCTCAAGTGCACAGACAGATACTTAAATCTCTATACCTGTGGACTAGTGTACAAACAGATACTTAAATCTCTATACCTGTGGACTAGTGTACAGACAGATACTTAAATCTCTATACCTGTGGACTAGTTCTCAGGTCTACCTCAAGTGTACAGACAGATACTTAAATCTCTATACCCGTGGACTAGTGTACAAACAGATACTTAAATCTCTAAACCTGTGGACTAGTGTACAAACAGATACTTAAATCTCTATACCTGTGGACTAGCCCACAGGTCTACCTCAAGTGTACAGACAGATACTTAAATCTCTATACCTGTGGACTAGCCCACAGGTCTACCTCAAGTGCACCGACAGATACTTCAATCTCTATACCTTTGGACTAACCCACAGGTTTACCTCAAGTGCACAGACAGATACTTAAATCTCTATACCTGTGGACTAGCCCACAGGTCTACCTCAAGTGTACAAACAGATACTTAAATCTCTATACCTGTGGACTAGCCCACAAGTCTACCTCAAGTGCACAGACACTTAAATCTCTATACCTGTGGACTAGCCCACAGGTCTACCTCAAGTGTACAAATAAATACTTCAATCTCTATACCTGTGGACTAGCCCACAGGTCTACTTCAAGTGTGCAAACAGATACTTCAATCTCTATACCTGTGGACTTGTGTACAAACAGATACTTCAATCTCTATACCTGTGGACTAGCCCACAGGTCTACCTCAAGTGTACAGACAGATACTTCAATCTCTTTACCTGTGGACTAGTGTACAGACAGATACTTTAATCTCTATACCTTTGGACTAACCCACAGGTCTACCTCAAGTGCACAGACAGATACTTAAATCTCTATACCTGTGGACTAGCCCACAGGTCTACCTCAAGTGTACAAACAGATACTTAAATCTCTATACCTGTGGACTAGCCCACAAGTCTACCTCAAGTGCACAGACAGATACTTAAATCTCTATACCTGTGGACTAGCCCACAGGTCTACCTCAAGTGTACAAACAGATACTTCAATCTCTATACCTGTGGACTAGCCCACAGGTCTACTTCAAGTGTACAAACAGATACTTCAATCTCTATACCTGTGGACTTGTGTACAAACAGATACTTCAATCTCTATACCTGTGGACTAGCCCACATGTCTACCTCAAGTGTACAGACAGATACTTAAATCTCTATACCTGTGGCCTAGTGTACAGACAGATACTTAAATCTCTATACCTGTAGACTAGTCCTCAGGTCTACCTCAAGTGTACAGACAGATACTTAAATCTCTATACCCGTGGACTAGTGTACAAACAGATACTTAAATCTCTATACCTGTGGACTAGCCCACAGGTCTACCTCAAGTGTACAGACAGATACTTAAATCTCTATACCTGTGGACTAGCCCACAAGTCTACCTCAAGTGCACAGACAGATACTTCAATCTCTATACCTGTGGACTAGCCCACAGGTCTACCTCAAGTGTACAGACAGATACTTCAATCTCTATACCTGTGGACTAGTGTACAAACAGATACATAAATCTCTATACCTGTGGACTAGTGTACAAACAGATACATAAATCTCTATACCTGTGGACTAGTGTACAAACAGATACTTCAATCTCTATACTGTGGACTAGCCCACAGGTCTACCTCAAGTGTACAAACAGATACTTCAATCTCTATACCTGTGGACTTGTGTACAAACAGATACTTCAATCTCTATACCTGTGGACTAGCCCACAGGCCTACCTCAAGTGTACAGACAGATACTTCAATCTCTATACCTGTGGACTAGCCCACAGGTCTACCTCAAGTGTACAAACAGGTACTTAAATCTCTTTACCTGTGGACTAGTGTACAAACAGATACTTTAATCTCTACACCTGTGGACTATTGTACAAACAGATACTTAAATCTCTCTACCTGTGGACTTGTGTTTCAAGCAGACTACAGACAGAGTGTATACATGTAACCCTGGCAGTATATTAACACCTACCTCCAGTGTACCCTCATGGTATTTTATATATTCATTGTCCAGAACAAACCACCGAGCCTTATAGTTCTCCTTGGTCATGAAAGTGCTCTTATTTTGTGACCTTTTCATCATGTAGTCCTTCTTATAGCCTGCCTTTGCCATTGTTGATGTTTATATATACTGACACTATCACAATATATAACGCTTCTTTTTCCTTCTAAGATGGGAATTTAACTTCAGCAGTTTTTGTGAGGGCTTACTGCAATCGGTTTCTGTTAGGGAAAGTGAAGAGGGTCTACTCTTTCAGTTTGTTTCTATGTAAAGGGGTTATTCCAGTCTGGTGACCTTGCAATTGCAGTACCATGCACTGCAGTGGTCAAAAATCTTTGTAGAATACCAGTATTCCATCTTACACTTTCTGTGAAATTGGCATGATCTGAAAATTAAGGAATACAATTTCTTTAATCATCTCAGAATGAGCTGTTAAATCAGAAATCAACTAGCAAAATCTTCCAATTAAATAATTAGTTAATGACTGTTCTATTAGCAAAAGAATGTTGATATTTACAGCTCGGTCATATGTTTATTTTTTTCCATTCTATACTGTTCAAACCTTCAATCTATAGAGATGATACCTAGAAAAACCTGTTCACCATAGATATGGAGATAATCATGAGGTACATGATTGATCCATCAACCCTATAGAAATGAGGTGTAGGTTTAATCAAACAATTCCTTGGAAATAATTTATAAATAGGAATAACCCAGCAATTACTCTATGGAAATGAGGTGAAACAAACAATCTTATGAAATAATGTCTTAGTTCAACCTGCAATATAGTTATAAACCCTGAGCAGATCAATAATTTCTAGGACAAACCCATCAACCTCATGGAGACAAGGGTTAAGTCATTTACACTATTTAGATTGTGTCCAGCAGGCAGCCATACTGAGATGATATCTGTTGGGTTAATATATCACCTTTTGGAGATTGGGTTAACTCATCCACTCTATATTTACAATTTCCACTGTTTCCCCCTCGATAAACTAACCAGGAGACACTACAGTTTATAACGCAATAACTTTAGTCTGGAACGTGAGCCTCATTACGGTGCATGAATATATGTAAACAATCAATTTACTAGCCTAGTTCGTGCCGTTGACTGTGTCACAAATGTATAGTGTATTCCATCTGCAATCGGATAATTTCTTAAAACATGCCGAGTCATATAATACTGACTGATTATCTATCAAAAAAGATAACATGAATTTATGTAAATGTTTTAAAATATAAAACAAAGTTGTTTAACTGAAATAAATATGTTTAAAATGCAGGAACTATTTTCTGTTATTGTTTAAGAGAAAAAGGGCAGGACTTAGCTGTCTCTCAACAGCTTTGTCAATGGCTGTTCCTGATGGAGATGACGTCCAGATACCTGCAAACGCCTACATCTACGATTAATTTCATATAGCTGAATTTTCATTACTTTTAAAGTAAAAAGAAAATATTATAAATATAAGTACCTTACCTTATGTTACCTTATGTTATGAGCTCATAAACTAAACAAAATCAAAGGTTAATCCTTAAATAAGATTATGTCTAGGGTTAACATATCAATGTTATAAAATAATGTCTAACCAACAATTTAGCTACAGACCCCACAGAGACATTTTTAGTATAAACACATCTACTCTACAGCTGTGGAGGTGAGGTTCAGATTTAAACCATCAACATTTAGGGTCAAGGGTCAACCTATTAACCTTATGGAAAAGATTTCTTGGCCCAACCTGCAACTTGTTGGAGATGACTTCCAGACATTGAGAAGGTGTCTACAAGGTTAACCTATTATTACCCTGTGGAAATAATGGCTAGGTCATCCCATCAATCGATGTATATATGTATAAGAGGTCAGTCACTGGTTTAATAAAACATCACTGTAAGAAACATACAATGCAAGTTATGAAAATGAAAGAATTTTCATTCAAATAAAATGATTGAAGTCTAATTTATCAGCAGATATTATTCATTAACAAAGAAACAGTTAAACTTAACTGAAGACTGATGGAGCATGACTTACCAGGAAGTTAAAACTTCTTAAGACAAGTTATATCTTGGAGTAAAATTCAGATTACAGTAAATATTGCATTCACACACAAAAAAATACTTATTCGAAAAATGCGGAAAAATGTTTCGAAGAATAATGCTTTTGTCAGTGAGATAATAACGCACAATGAAAAAAAAATAAAACTTACCATCATGAGGTAACTTCCTACTTGATCTGCGGTAATACAGAGTTATTTCCTCCTGTCAAAGAAAATAAACTATTTCGATTTTTCAGACTTACAAAAGAAACGAAATGATCGTCTAGAGTCTTTCATATTAAATATATCTCTTTACTCACTTATTTTTCTAACATTATAGAGAAATTAATATTTGTTGATGTTACCGACGATGCTAATGAAATCTAGGATAATCTTGAATATTGCTCTTTTTTTCGAAACACTAATTCTATTCTTTTGCAATATTTAAGCAATCTGGTTTCACTTCCGGTGGGAAACATTCAAGTTAAAGAATGATGCTTTGAAACAAAGGTTTGTTTATTGTCAAAAAACAGAAAGTGTTGAGAACATTTTAACGACAAGTACTTTTTCCGTATTTTGCTACCATTTGAAACCGTGTTATTATTTGGCAGTCATATAACAGCATCGCGCGATCTGCTACACACAATCTATCGCAGAAACAATATACAGACATAGCAGGGATTTGCAATTTGGGATGGGTTACAAGCTCATGTGGACTAAAATAATTCATCGATATCGTAACCGGTAATATTTGTGGAGTTCGATGTCCATTGTCCATTTACATTTTATTTGTAAGTTCATCTCTGCACACATAGTTCCTGCTGTTTTAGCATGCGCGACACAATATAGCTACTTGTGTATTTCACATGTATTAGGAGCGGGTTGGTGTGGCTTGTATATAGTGTTATAAACAGTCTCTGCATGCTTCATGAAGTCCATGATGAAGTGTAGCTGTTTTGTAATTTGTTTTCAATTGCTGTTTGTTCGCCAATTTTTACCAGTGTACTTAATTATGTTCCACAGTACACGTTAAATAACAAATTAAAGGATGGAGAAATATAGGGGATTAAACTTAAAGTAACACATTACATTATTTTCTTACTAATCATTCTTCGCCATATTTTTTTCAAATCTCCCTGATTCAATCATGTAAACACAAAAAATAACCAAAAATAGGTCTAGGGTTGGGCAGTGGTGTTCACTTCACCATAGCTATGGTAAAGTGAAGCAAGTGTTATCTCCCTAATCACCCTGACCCAATCACTTACAAAAACAAAAAGTAGTTTGAGGTGAGGGAAATAAAGGGGGATGTTCACTTCACCATGGAGAAGTGAAACCCTCCTGCCCTCCCCTAAATGTCGCCATCCCAGACCTATTTTTTTTTGTTATTTCTGTGTTTATATCACCGAATCAGTGTAATCAGAAAAGAAATATTGAAGAAACTGAATCAGTAAGAAAACAGTGAAATGTTTCACTTTACCATGCCACTGTGTTTGTCAGTTTATGACATCAAGTTGTAGAAAATGTTCACTAACATGAATTATGGCAAAAACGTGTGGAGCCAGCTTAGTATTTCTTATGGCCTAATTACAATCCATTTTATAGATAAGGTGACTTTCTAGAAAAATCCTCATTTCCCAGATAGATGGAATGTGTTTAAGATACTACAGAGTTAGATATATCTAAATCTTTGAATACTCTTAACAAAACATGTGAATTTCAATGTTACCTATTTACAGGGGAAAAGTACATTTTCCACTAAAAATAATTGAAAATTTGATCAGATAAGTATGGGGTGACAGATTTGTGGTATATTTATGCACATAGTGACCCTGAATAAACCTCATGAAAGCAGGCAAAAAGGGGTCGTATAGACTGGAATTTAAAGAAAAATTGTCTTAACCAAGATATGGAGGGAGTACAGGTTTTAGAGGAAAATAATGCTTTTAAGTAACTTTCCTGTTAAAAATGTATTTGGAATTATTGATATGGGATGCTTGTGTAGTGATATGCACATAGTTATCCAGGAAGGGTCCTAGTGGCTTGAATTTCTCCAAAATGTCTTATTTTAGACCAAGATGAAGTGTAGTCATGAATATCATCAATAATGGAAAGGTCTGATAAAAAGATGTTTTACCTGAATTGTGAATTTCATGAATTTAGGATCAAGCATTTCCCTGTGGGCAGGGGTTAAGTTTACTGTTGTTTAAGAAGGGAAATATTCCCTCATCACATTATGTTTAACCTCCATTGGGAATAATTCAACTCTTAATAAAAAGGATCGATATAGAATGGCTGCTTAATTAATATTAGGCACATGGTCATCATGATCCTAATTGACTTTCAGCAATTAAACGGCCTGTGTATATTTGATAGGACCAGTTGTAGTTTTGGCAGACTCCTTTTCAAGAATAACATAATTATGTCCCTCGTCTACTCAAGTTTGTTGTACCACATATAATTTTCTTGGCAGAATTTCTTCCTACATTTACATTACATGAGTTAAAGCGTCATTAATCTTACTTTGTTTACATCATGATTTATAACGTCAGGGCTCTCAATCTGCCAGATTTGGGGCCAAATACCCAATGCAAAATAGTATCTTTTTTTTCTCAATTTAGACCCCAGGTTTTCCAAATTCTAAGAAAATGCCGCTCTTTTTCCTAATTAAAAGGGCCCCAGGCCCCAGTCCCAAAATGGGGTGTGAAAGCCCTGAACGTATGTCATATATTTTCCCCCAACAACAAAAACAACAGTTTTTATAAAACTGAAGTGACTGTTAAGGTCCCACATTGGTTTCTTGTTTGAATATTTTTCTAGTAATATCTTGATCTACTTGTCCTGCTTTTGCCATCCATACAAAATGTGTCAGATGTGACACAGTTATCATGCATGTTATAAAGGCTATTAATTTTTGAGTACCAGTGATTTCATTGAATTGCTGTAAGCACTCAAGAGAATTTATAAAATTTTGAAACCTAGGAAGTTTTTTGTAGATCAAACCACCCATGTTAGATTGTATTCGATAGAATATTGTTGCATTGATATAATTCTTTTTGTAATACAGCTAAACAGAAAAGAAGTTACCATGGGGGATACTGGTAACCAGGGTGTCAGTACTAGTGCCTTCCCAAATCCTCCTAACTACTTTAAACAGTATACTGATGAGAATGTACGACGAGGCCTGGCCCCACCCCCACCTCCACCTGTTCAGGTAAGGAATTCATGACAAGACCTTGCACCCCTCCTCTACCTCCATGTGAACTCATCCTGAAGAAAGTTTGTACCCACCCACATCTTGTTTATATTTACATCTAACAAATTGATATACCCATCATATTAAGCGTATATTTTCATGTAACAAATATATTTACCCACCTATATTTTAAGCTTACACATAAATATATATATACCCACCTGTATGAATGTACATATGAATATATGTACCCATCCATATCACATCCTACACATATGAATATATGTACCATTCAACATTAGGTCATACATGTATTTACTGTTCAGTAGCTACATAAAGTTTTTTGTTTTGATTGTCCACAGGATTCCTACACCATGTTTGGTGCCCAGTACACAGCAGAAGATGCGATTATCCGACCACTTGAGTCTCTAGGATTCCGAAGACTACATCCACAAAACTACGACCATAAACGAGAACTGAAAAAACTAAACCATTCTATTGTTGTGAACTTTCTGGATCTCATTGATATACTGATTAAGGCTCCAAACTCTCCAAAAAGAACAGAAAAGTTAGAAGACTTAAATCTTCTGTTCATTCACATGCATCACCTCATCAACGAGTATCGTCCCCATCAAGCTAGAGAGACTCTACGTGTCATGATGGAGCACCAAAAAAATCAGCGCCAAGAAATTGGAGAACGTTTTAAGAAGCATTTAGACAAAGTGAAAGAGTTGATTCAGACCAGCATAGCTCACTTGTCAGAAGATTACAGCTTTGATTCCAAGTCTCTTGTGAAGACAGAGCTGCTCCAGGCTGGTCACTCCCTGGGCGAGTACAGTATGGAGGTGGAGCCCTGTGACCAGCTTGACCGTATGATGTGTGACATTGTAGACAGTATGAACTGATGTTTTATGTAGTACTTTTTGCAACGCAGTATACATGAATGCTGGAATCCTTGATATTACTAGTTAATACAGATATGTGTTTTTCTGATGTTTGGTTTCATAAAATTACATGGGTTTTTTTTTTTTTTGAAAATAAATTTGAAATCTGAATTGGTGAAACATGTAGTGTTGTCAAGCTTCTTTGTTCAAACCATGTGTAATTTGATTAATGATGTGTATGTGATATCTCTAGAGAACAGCAAAGAAATCTTTCAAAAGAAAATTGCTCACACCAGTGTTTATATTAATCTATAAATTAGACTGTTCTTAGAAACTTAAACTGTGGACAAAATGGTACACCATACATAACATTGTATCCATTACAAATTGTACTTACTATATATATGTATATACAGTATCTCTCATTGTATATCTTTGCCAGGGATTCACTAGTTGTGTTCTCATGCACAACTGCAAAATTTACTTTATTAGTGAGTCCCTTCAGGATGATCAATCGGCTTTGTGACTTACCGGGTATGTCTAGTATATGGAGTTATAGCCCTTTGCTCAAATAACAAAGTCAAGGGCCTGACCTTTTCACTCCTACCGTTCCTGTGTGCAAGTTGTTCTTGCGATGGCCAGGTTGATCCTGTGTCTCAACATAGACAGAACTATTGTCACAGACTGATCATATGTCCCGCAAATGACTGACCTATGGTCACAGGTTGATCCTATGTCCCGCAAATGACTGACCTATGGTCACAGGTTGATCCTATGTCCCGCAAATGACTGACCAATGGTCACAGGTTGATCCTGTGCCCCACAATAGACAGAACTATTGCCACAAGACTGATCCTGTGCCCCACAATAGACAGAACTATTATCACAGACTGATCATATGTCCTGCAAATGACTGACCTATGGTCACAGGTTGATCCTATGTTCCGCAAATGACTGACCAATGGTCACAGGTTGATCCTGTGCCCCACAATAGACAGAACTATTGCCACAAGACTGATCATGTGCCCTACAATAGACAGGGCTTTGGTTCCAGGTTGATCCTGTGTCCCACAATAGACAGGGCTTTGGTTCCAGGTTGATCCTGTGTCCCACAATAGACAGGGCTTTGGTTCCAGGTTGATCCTGTGTCCTGCAATATTTACAATTATGGTCACAGGTTGGTCCATGTTCATCAACAGACAGAACTTTCTTGAAGCATCACTTTGACAGCTCATCTTTTTTGGAGAATGACAATAATTAATAATTTAATATTGTATGAAATTTTAGAATCCCCAATATATGCATCATTTGGAGATTCTGAAAGTTGTTGAAGAAACTTTCACTTGATAATTGTACTAATATAACACTAGAACTTGCTTCATCTATTAAAGAAATACTTTAAGGCGATATTGAAACAAATAAAAATTAACTTAAGTGAGTCTGCCTGGAAATACAAAGTGATATTTATGAAGTTCAGATGGCTGCTATGAAAAAAAAGACGTGATCAATTTGTACACACAATTGTACATTTGTAGTAGTTTTGTTTACAGGTGAAGTTCAATGTTGTACAGGCTGCCCACTTTTTGTGTCGACATATCACAAGTAGAATGCAGGTGTATAGTCATTTGTGAACTCTATGTGTAGTCAGAATGGAACCTTTGTGTGTCTATAGTATATACTGAGCTTTCATGGCAACATTTTAAGGATTTTTAGCCAACCATCATCAGATGGTGGGGTATTCAAATCGCCCTGCGTCCGTGGTCCGTCCGTCCGGAAAACAATTCTTGTTACCACTATTTCTGGGAAAGTACTGGATGGATCTTTCTCAAATTTCATATGCAGGTTCCCCTTGGTCTCTAGTTGTGCATTGTACCTTTTTTGGACTGATCCAAATTCAAGATGGCAGCTTGTTGGCCATCTTTTATTTTGAAAGTAAAAGTTTGTTACCCCTATTTCTGAGAAAGTACTGGATGGATCTTTGTCAAATTTCATATGGAGCTTCCCCTTGGTCCTAAGTTGTGCATTGTACCTTTTTTGGACTGATTTGAAATCAAGGTGGCCCACAGGCAGCCATCTTGGAAGTCGACAGTAATACAGTAGTTTGTTATCGCTGTGACAGGATCCTCTTGGTACCTAGTTAAGCATTGTCCCATATTTAAAATGATCTGAAAAACAAAATGGCCTATAGCTCTCCATCTTGGATTTGAACAGCAAATAATTGTTTTACGGCTATTTCTTACCTACATGATCAGTCACTCTCAAGTATCAGATTTTCTAAATTAAGTAAACATTGATAAATACACTGTTTAGGGTATGTATACTAAACCATGTAATGAATTGAGTTAATGGCATATGGGTTGACACATGAGAAGTAACAGAAGAATTGATTTATTAAAAATGTCAATAATTCCTAATATTTATTTAAGTGTTGGTGTTACAAAAACATTAATGTATTAAAATAAAATATAAAATTTAAAATTTTAATAATAAAAAAATAGTTTTAAAAAACTTTTATTATACTTGTTGCGCTCTTGTACATGTGCATCATTTCATCATCATCATCATCATCATCATCATCACCATCACCATCCATTTTGAATTTAATAAGTATACAACTTAATAAAGGGTGTTCATTTATCACTATATCCATATAAAAATATCTTGTGCCATCATTGAGTACATTCAATGAAGACCAGTTCATGAACATTTACAACACCTGCAACAAAAAATAAAAATAAACAAATCTTCAAGAACTGAAAACAGATCCTCGAATGGTGGGCGCCAAGATCCCACTGGGATCTCTTGTTGGACTTTTGTTAATGGAGGCATGTTTTCAAAATGTGAACTGCTTTTATATTAATTCAAACGCACAATATCGTCTCAAGTATTTCTTAGAAAGGTTAATTTTCTCTATGTCTTTTCATTATATGAATATAAATTGATTTTTATATCATCTGACCTGAAGGTTCAGGATGACCAACAGCCATTGTGTTTTGTGTTAAACTTTTCATTTCAACGAACTTTTCTCAATAACCAAAGGCCCTTGAAGTTGATACTTGGCTTGTAGCATTCTGGGATGAAGTGTTAAGTTAGTTCAAATGAATGGCCTTGATTCACTTTCAAGATCGCAAAATTCAAAAAATCTTCCGACTTCTTCTTAATAACCAAAAGGTCATTGTTTTAAATTTGGTTTTGTAATAGTCCTTGACCCACTTCCAAGGTCACTGGTGTCAAATGTATTGAGAACTTCAATGGTATTTGTGTAGTAGCATGCTTGAAGAATAGGATTTCAAGTTTACAGAGACTTTGTATTAGAGCATATTGGGTATTCTAGGGCTTTAATAAACACAAATTTCAAATTAAAATGCATAAGTGTAATTTATTTGACAATTTGAATTCAATATACATAATATTGTGCACGACAGAATGTAAACTTATTTAGTTTCAAAATATCACGTTGAAATTGCAGAAAAAGCAACATATTTTAAATGAACAAAAAGTAAAACAATTTTCTAGTACATGTATCTACATGCAAATTATTCTTTATCACATATTGCACAAAGTTTCACAACACTTGATTATTTATAGTAATATGAACACAATTTGGTCGAAGGAAAAATAATATTTCTACTCAACGGTCTCTAAAACTGACAATAAAACTGACCATTACAACACAAACTACTTTGATTAGCATCTGGTCCAGTACATTTCACCATATAAACTGGGAAGGCAGTAGGTTTTAGGTAAACATAAAAAATAATCCAACACTTCAAACATCTATGTGACATTGATCAACAGTACACCACACTTATCAATTTCTTTTCAAAATTTGAAATTAATTTAATATTAAAGTTTATTATGCCTACCCTACTTCAACACGTCAACTCTCCACAACAATCAATACAAGATTAAGCATAAATTTCAAGTGAAGAAGAATAAGATCCCATTTTATCACATGATTTAGTTTACTATACTGTAACAGATGTAATTTTTCATCTCAATGCCTCCTCTGGGAATCGAACCCAGGACCCCTGGCTTACTAGTCTGACGCTCAGCCATTCGAGCTAAAGAGAAGTTCTCTCTGGCCGAGTGGTATATTGCGGCTAGTATTTTACCAGGGTTACAATACTATGATGTAAAACTTTTTACAAACAGTTAGAAACCAAGTAGAATAAGCAGGTAATTTTATGGTAAGTTAATATATACTGCAACTCTGTGTAATTTTTAATATCAAAATGTGTATTATTAGATGGAATGAAGCCTATAACAGGGAAGGGGTTACTATCTATACGTGATTTACCTGGTCAGCCATTAACTTGGTCAGACAACATGATAAAGAAAACAATACCAGGAATCAACATCTTTGATATAAAACAGACGTCAAAAAAGGCAAATTTCATGCAGTACATTGTATTACTGAAGCTGAATCAACTGAACATTGCACAACTTTACAGTGTACATATCGACAAGATTTTTGTCCTACAAGTGTGGTTTTCACCAGCTTGTGTACCCTCAAAGAGAAATCAGTGGATAGCTTACATCATGTCTAGTAGGCAAGTTAACAGTTATACAACTGTTATAATAGACAAATTATAAGTGTCACTTCAGATATCAGGTACTTAACATCCAGAACCACAAAAATTATCACTTTCTCTGAAAACACTGGGCTCACATAACAAAACATCTCTCCAGGCATATTCAACCTACCATCAGGATTACATGATAAAACATCTCCAGGCATATTTCCAGACTCACAGATATCACAAGTGGAATGCAGGTGTATAATCATTTGTGAACTCTATGTGTAGTCAGAATGGAACCTTTGTGTGTCTATAGTATATACTGAACTTTCATGGCAACATTTTAAGGATTTTTGGACTTTTGTAACTATTGTGAATGGAGGCATCTCCAGACTCACATAATAAAATGTCTCTCTAGGTTTATTTCATCCTATCTCCAGACTCGCATAATAAAACGTCTCTCTAGGTTTATTTCATCCTATCTCCAGACTCGCATAATAAAACGTCTCTCCAGGCATATTTCATCCTATCTCCAGACAAACATAATAAAACGTCTCTCCAGGCATATTTCATCCTATCTCCAGACAAACATAATAAAACGTCTCTCCAGGTTTATTTCATCCTATCTCCAGACTCACATAATAAAATGCCTCTCCAGGTTTATTTCAACCTACCTCCAGGCCTGCATACAAAACACCTCTCCAGGTTTATTTCAACCTACCAACAGGCCTGCATACAAAACACCTCTCCAGGTTTATTTCAACCTACCTCCAGGCCTGCACACAAAACACCCCTCCAGGTTTATTTCAACCTACTTCCAGGCCTGCATACAAAACACCTCTCCAGGTTTATTTCAACCTACCTCCAGGCCTGCATACAAAACACCTCTCCAGGTTTATTTCAACCTACCTCCAGGCCTGCATACAAAACACCTCTCCAGGTTTATTTCAACCTACCTCCAGGCCTGCATACAAAACACCTCTCCAGGTTTATTTCAACCTACCTCCAGGCCTGCATACAAAACACCTCTCCAGGTTTATTTCAACCTACCTCCAGGCCTGCATACAAAACACCTCTCCAGGTTTCAGTTGAATTCTGCTCCATTAATTTCTGAGAAATTCTTATCAACATTTCCTTTGTTAAGGAAATACAGACTACAAGACACCTCTCTTATTTTCCCTAATCCAAGGTAAAGCATATCAATGCTTGTATTTGATATTTATCTATATACAGACCCATAAAATATTGAATATCTGGCTTCTACTATAATGGAAACTGAATCAAGTGTAGCATGAGTGCCACAGTAAACAAAATCTGAACAAAGTCTCATATAGTATCCACATATGAAGGCCAGTAATTCTTCGACTTCTACAACTTGAATATTTGATTAAGTTAAAGGACAGTATGACTCGACTTAAGCTTACAGATACTATGACTGAACTAAAGTCTATCGATACTATGACTGAACTAAAGTCTATCGATTCTATGACTTGATTTAAGCTTACAGATACTATGACTGAACTAAAGTCTATCTATACTATGACTCGACTTAAGCTTACAGATACTATGACTGAACTAAAGTCTATCGATACTATGACTTATCTAAAGTCTATCGATACTATGACTCGACTTAAGCTTACAGATACTATGACTCAACTAAAGTCTATCGATAATATGACTGAAGTCTCTATCACCCAGCTGAAATCTAGGGTCACTATGACCCACCTAAAGTCTCTAATACTCAGCTGAAGGTTACCGACACTATCTATGATCAAAAGCTAAAGACACTGATACTAACCCAGTGTTAATGCTCTGGTGTACAACATACAATGTATTACCTAATTAATATAGTGTTGTGAACCCCCTTCATATTTTGTTTGTAGAGTCAGAACTGAAGGAAAATTGTCAGAAACTAAGCACAGTTTGCTGAACAAAGATTCAATCCAGAATAGGTTAAAGAAGTTTCAGATTTTAAATATTGGATTGTATTTGGTATTATCTATTAAAAGAAATAAGATAAAAAAAATTCATCAAGAACTGAATCAACATTGCTCCATATGAACAATGACAACTTGGTTGTTATAGTGAAATGACACATATATAGATACAGACAAACAAGAATTTATCCTACTCCAGTAAACTGAATTGTTCAACATTAAAAAATATCCAGTAAAATCAGTAATATCATTACTATACATAAACAAAATATCAATACAGATCTCCATTGTAAAAGCAGTTTGACAAATGATCAATTTCTTTGTTTTTTTTTTTTTTTTTTTTTGGCTTTATTGCCCCAAAATAGCCACGTTCATTCTGAAAGTGGCGTCTCCTTGTAGAAGCTGGTGGTTACCTCACTAACAGCATATGGGAGGCCCATCACGACCATCCAGGGCAATTACGGCAATTTGTCTAGTTCAAGTACACAACCAAGTCATCACAGACTTGTCTGTTCTTCAGCTTCTCCAGAAATACAAACAGCCATGACCTCTAATATGTTTCAGCACTCACGTAAATGTTACCAACACACTGTGGTTAGAATCTATAACAAGTGTAACTGTAGATTGTAATCTTTCAGAGTTTTATCAGGAAAACACATGTGTTACACTCAAATACTGATGTCGTTAATTCCAATCATTAAATCTGATATGACAGGTCAAAGGTCAAGCACTCTAAAACCACAACAGATCTGTATTGTATCTAAGGTCAAAGTTTACAACATTCAATTTATCATTGACCAGCGGTTCTTTGGACCTGAAGATGAAAATAATTGTGTCCGAATGTTTGGCATAGTGAGACTCGAGGTCATGGAGTGTCTTGGACTCCGTGGTGCTACTGGACTAAATGTTATAGGATTATCTGACTGTGGTTTAGCAGAACCAAGAGGGAAACTTGAAGACAGGTTGGACTGCTTTCTCACTTTCGCGGGGCTCTGCCAACTAGAGGAAAAAAACAAAAATAATTGTTACGAGAAATTACAAATTATCTTATAAATGAAATATAACAAATACAATGTCCTAATCTGGGTTACAGTTGTCTGGTATAAAGTTTCATCTCTAGTATACTAAAATGTGTCCTAACAAGTAACATTGATACATATCAACCACAAACAAATATCTATATAGGTATTCAGGGAAATAAAAGACTGGATATAGATTTCCCCCGGATAATGATGTTGACAACTTCCTGAGAACTTATTTCCTGACAATAACCCTGTGTATACACAATATATATACACCTTGCAAGTAGAACTTTAATGTATTTATTAAAAGAAAAATACAAACTTTATTTTTAGTTTTAGGTTCTTTTAACAAAAATTTGTTTTTCATCTTCTGTTCTTTTGTTATTCAACTTGACCTCATAACTATTGCCTTTTAAGCATTGACATATTGTAATTTCAATAATCAATTCACACATATACTTAGATAATTTCAATTATCAATTCACACATATACTTAACTCACCTGAAGGTGGAGTCTGCCTATACTCATCACTCACCTGAAGGTGGGGTCTGCCTATACTCATCAATCACCTGAAGGTGGAGACTGCCTATACTCATCACTCACCTGAAGGTGGAGTCTGCCTATACTCATACTCACCTGAAGGTGGAGTCTGCCTCTACTCATCACTCACCTGAAGGTGGAGTCTGCCTATATTCATACTCACCTGAAGGTGGAGTCTGCCTATACTCATACTCACCTGAAGGTGGAGTCTGCCTATACTCATCACTCACCTGAAGGTGGAGACTGCCTATACTCATACTCACCTGAAGGTGGAGTCTGCCTATACTCATCACTCACCTGAAGGTGGAGACTGCCTATACTCATCACTCATCTGAAGGTGGAGTCTGCCTATACTCATCACTCACCTGAAGGTGGAGACTGCCTATACTCATCAATCACCTGAAGGTGAAGTCTGCCTATACTCATCACTCACCTGAAGGTGGAATCTATCTATACTCATCACTCTCCTGAAGGTGGAGTCTGCCTATACTCATCACTCACCTTAAGGTGGAGTCTGCCTATACTCATCACTCACCTTAAGGTGGAGACTGCCTATACTCATCACTCACCAGAAGGTGGAGTCTGCCTATACTCATCACTCACCTGAAGGTGGAATCTATCTATACTCATCACTCTCCTGAAGGTGGAGTCTGCCTATACTCATCACTCACTTTAAGGTGGAGTCTGCCTATACTCTTCACTCACCTGAAGGTGGAGACTGCCTATACTCATCACTCACCTGAAGGTGGAGTCTGCCTATACTCATCACTCACCTGAAGGTGGAGTCTGCCTATACTCTTCACTCACCTGAAGGTGGAGTCTGCCTATACTCATCACTCACCTTGAGGTGAAGTCTGCCTATAATTATTACTCACCTGAAGGTGGAGTCTGCCTATACTCTTCACTCACCTGAAGGTGGAATCTATCTATACTCATCACTCACCTGAAGGTGCAGTCTGCCTATACTCATCACTCACCTGAAGGTGGAGACTGCCTATTCTCATCACTCACCTGAAGGTGGAGTCTGCCTATACTCTTCACTCACCTGAAGGTGGAGTCTGCCTATACTCATCACTCACCTTAAAGTGAAGTCTGCCTTTAATTATTACTCACCTGAAGGTAGAGTCTGTGGCATAGGACAGTACCTGGGCTCTCCACTTTTGCACAGTAGGGTACCGATCATTGTCCACAGTAGCCCCCTCCATAGCCCGATAGGCATCTAAGTCTGACTTTGTAGGTCGGTATCTGGGTAAAGACATATTTTTTGTTATGTCTTGCTTAAAATGAAGGTTATTATATCATCGTTACCATATAACAAATTTCGCCAAAACTAGTCAAGGAGATTTTTTTTTTTTTTCTATCTCTGAATTGTAACAGATAGTGCAAACAATTTTGATGACCTTTAAAAACAAAATTAAACATCACTTTTAAAACCTTAGGTATAGTGAAATAAAATTGTGTATAGCTAGACTAGTACAAGTACAATATACATTATAACACAGAATTTTTACAATGCTTTTATTTTCATAAATGACCAAAGTTTCTTTAACATACAAAAATACCAGTGACAGACAAACAGGAAGGATGTTTTCAGAATGGTGTACATGTACTATGTACTAATTTCTCAAACTTTCAAACATTATTGTCAGCCTTAGACCTTATAACTATCCAGAAACCCTGCTACACACAAAACAGAATCCGTGCCACACACAACAAAAACCCTGTTACACACACAACAGAAACCCTGTTACACACAACAGAAATCCTGCTACACACAACAGAAACCCTATTACACACACAACAGAAACCCTGTTACACACAACAGAAACCCTGCTAAGCACAACAGAATTCCTGCTACACACAACAAAAATCCTACTACACACACAACAGATATCCTGCTACACTCACAACAGAAATCCTGCTACACACACAACAGAAATCCTGCTACACACACAACCAAAATCCTGCTACACACACAACAGAAACCCTGCTGCACACACAACAGAAACCTTGCTACACACACAACAGAAATCCTGCTACATACACAACAGAAACCCTGCTACATACACAACAGAGCTACACACACAACAGATATCCTGCTACACACACAACAGAAACCCTGCTACACACACAACAGAAATCCTGCTACACACACAACAGATATCCTGCTACACTCACAACAGAATTCCTGCTACACACACAACAGAAATCCTGCTACACACACAACAGAAACCCTGCTAAACACACAACATAAACCCTGCTACACACACAACAGAAACCCTGCTACACACAACAGAAACCCTGCTACACACACAATATAAACCCTGCTACACACAACAGAAATCCTGCTACACACAACAGAAATCCTGCTACACACAACAGAAATCCTGCTAAACACACAACAGAAATCCTGCTACACACATACTATAAATCCTTCTACATACAACAGAAACCTGGTTACACACACAACAGAAACCCTGCTACACACATACTATAAATCCTGCTACATACAACAGAAACCTGGTTACACACACAACAGAAACCCTGCTACACACATACTATAAATCCTGCTACACACAACAGAATCCCTGTTACACACACAACATAAACCCTGCTACACACACAACAGAAATCCTGCTACACACACACAACAGAAACCCTGCTACACACAACAGAAAGCCTGCTACACATACAACAGAAACCGTGCTACACACAACAGAAATCCTGCTACACACAACAGAAATCCTGCTACATACAACAGAAATCCTGCTACACACATACTATAAATCCTGCTACATACAACAGAAACCTGGTTACACACACAACAGAAACCCTGCTACACACATACTATAAATCCTGCTACACACAACAGAAACCCTGTTACACACACAACATAAACCCTGCTACACACACAACATAAATCCTGCTACACACACAACAGAAATCCTGCTACACACAACAGTATTCCTGCTACACACAACAGAAATCCTGCTACACACACACAACAGAATTCCTGCTACACACACAACAGAAACCCCATTTTCCAAAAAGACACACCGCCACTACCCAACACCATGGAAACTGTTTTACCCCCACAATAGAAACCCCTTTACCCACACAATGGAAAACCCTCTATTCTCACACGTGAAACTCACCATGGAACCTCCCACTACCCACACAACAGAAACTTCTTTTCTTTTGACATCCCATAAAAGTAAATTTCATATGTTATTATTTCTGAATGGAGTTTAACATATCAATCTTTATATATAAACATGTACCTCAAACTTTATACACTAATGTATTACAGATATACTCACCCATGTATGAAAAACATTTTCGACTTGAGACTATTACTGATGGTGAGAGCCTGTGTAATGTCACGTCCAATAAAATTGAACTTGACATCAATAATAGCAGGTAGATGGGTTTCCATGTCCATGCTTTTGTCCATCTCGGGGTTATCCTGAATGACTTTGAAAGGAATGTCATTAAAAAGGTGCATCTCTGCGACGCTACAATGGAACGGTATCACAGCTACATCAGCGACAATCATGTCACTTTTTAACAAAAGTTCCTCTTTCAAATCCACCACTATGTCCTGTCTGGTTTGTATAGGAGCTGATCTGTAGTTACTCACATTTTCCAGATTTTTTCTCTCATTTAGAGTTTCAAATAAAGATTCAAACATAATGCCTGATATTTTGTCTCTGTCCATTTCTAGGGTGACATTAAGACGACTGGAGGCATTCTGCCAGTCAATACTGGACCCATCCTCTGACTGGTTCACAGAAACCTTCCCCTCCTGCAGCTCCACTTTCTTTAAATTGTTTGTCAGTTCATTTATGCTATCATCAAGTTCTGAGCTCTGAGAATCAGTCAGTAAATTCGGTTCTGGATCACTTTCTGAACCAAATGATGTCGGTTTGCTACTTCTCCAGTTCATATCAGATTTTGCACCAGGAGACACTTTCAGTTTTTCTGATTCCAGTTCTTCTCGTTCAATTTTTGTCAGAGGTGGGCGTTTCCAAACACTGACTGGGACGTTACTTTGAGTAACAGATTCGGATCCCTCATGAGAAGCGACGTGCGCGTTGTAGGTATCATTTGCTTCCTTGAAGTAAGGGATTTTGCTGTAGGGTTTTACTGATACATATGATGCATCCATTGGGTAGTCCCCTGGTGAGGAGATGTACTGAGAACGATTGCCCATACAGGACGTACAAGATATAAACTTTGAGATTCCTCTTGGAGATGAACGGGAACGATCCAGTAGGGACAGCTTGGCAAACAGTGCAGAGAGGCAGGAAATGGGACTGCCGTTGCCAGTCATGCTGTCAGTGGACTGAAACATGAGGTCACTTCTCTCCATTGACCGATTAAGGAAACCGGCTCGTCCATACCCGTAGTTCTCACCACCGACAGGGGTACTGTAAAGATTTTGGTTGTTACGTAGATATGAACTTCTCATAGAAGGAGGTGTTCCATTGGTCGCTAAAGACCCAACACCATTTTCTACTTTACAAGCACCTCCATTCTGAAGCTGAGGTTCTCGTTTCGGTGAACTAAATACTTCTTCGTCTAGATCAATAGAATCAAAATCATTATCATGATCTGAACTCTCCAAGTCTTTTTCAACTTCTTCTCTCAATGCTAACAGATTCCATGAAAAGTTGCTATACTGACTGATTCCAATGTCACTTCCTGCTACGCTAGCATGACTCACAGCCAGCTGGTCCAGTTTCTCTATACCATCAGCAATACACAATGCAATTCTTTGTTTCTGGAAATATTCCTCCAAAAGGTCAAGTCCATCTTCAGAAGAAAGGTCAGCATAAGTTTGTAGGAATTCCCAGTACTCCAGCCACGGGACTTGCATTTGGTGTGCCAAGTCTCTGTTGTCATAGAAAAAGTTTTAATAACAAGAGGCCCATGGGTCTTAACGGTCATCTGACATCAAATACAAGATTTCAAATTTTGAACTTATTTCACCTGGATTAAAGAATCATGGGCCACCACCTTCAAAGTGGGTTAAGGTTATTCATTTCAACAAACTTTGTTAACCTGCATCCCAGCATGCTACAGGCAAAATATCATCACCTTGGGTGTTCTGGTTATTCAGAGGATGTTTGAAGTAACAAACAGTTTTCAAGATGGCGGCCATGGCAGTCATTTTGGATTTTGGACTGACCCGAAATTAACAAACTTTGGTCAGGACCATGTCACGATCATTTCATGTAAGTTTCAGCTCAATGTCACAAGTAGAACTTGAGAAGAAGTTGGAAATGTGTTTTCAATGTATTTTCAAAATGGTGGCCATCTCGGCCATCTTGGATTTCGGACCAACCCGAAATTAACAAACTTTGGTCAGGGTCATGACACGATCATTTCAGATGACCTAAAAATTGTTTACTTAAAACAGTACAAGATTAGATTTCTGCACTTTACTTTCCAGCTTATTAGGAAATGAAGACACTAACCGGCCAAGGCGTTCCATTCCTTTGTCGCTATCCTCACGACGAGTTATGACAAATTTCCGACGGATATAGTCCGGACTCCCACTTGGAGGAGTAGTCCATTGTTTGTGGAACTGTTCTGCCTGAAATACAACCAGAGATCTGATGACACTAACTACCTAATCATGGTGACTGTAATACAACCAGAGATCTGATGACACTGACTACCTGATCATATTGACTGTAATACAACCAGAGACCTGATGACACTGACTACCTGATCATGGTGACTGTAATACAACCAGATATCTGATGACACTGACTACCTGATCATGGTGACTGTAATACAACCAGAGATCTGATGACACTGACTACCTGATCATGGTGACTGTAATACAATGGGAGATACCAATGGGAGATCTGATGACACTGACTACCTGATCATGGTGACTGTAATACAACCAGAGATCTGATGACACTGACTACCTGATCATGGTGACTGTAATACAATGGGAGATCTGATGACACTGACTACCTGATCATGGTGACTGTAATACAATGGGAGATCTGATGACACTGACTACCTGATCATGGTGACTGTAATACAATGGGAGATCTGATGACACTGACTACCTGATCATGGTGACTGTAATACAACCAGAGATCTGATGACACTGACTACCTGATCATGGTGACTGTAATACAACCAGAGATCTGATGACACTGACTACCTGATCATGGTGACTGTAATACAATGGGAGATCTGATGACACTGACTACCTGATCATGGTGACTGTAATACAATGGGAGATCTGATGACACTGACTACCTGATCATGGTGACTGTAATACAATGAGATCTGATGACAGTGAATACCTGATCATGGTGACTGTAATACAGAGATCTGATGACACTGACTACCTGATCATGGTGACTGTAATACAACCAGAGATCTGATGACACTGACTACCTGATCATGGTGACTGTAATACAAACAGAGATCTGATGACACTGACTACCTGATCATGGTGACTGTAATACAACCACAGATCTGATGACACTGACTACCTGATCATGGTGACTGTAATACAACCAGAGATCTGATGACACTGACTACCTGATCATGGTGACTGTAATACAGCCAGAGATCTGATGACACTGACTACCTGATCATGGTGACTGTAATACAATGGGAGATCTGATGACACTGACTACCTGATCATGGCGACTGTAATACAATGGGAGATCTTAGACACTGACTACCTGATCATGGTGACTGTAATACAACCAGAGATCTGATGACACTGACTACCTGATCATGGTGACTGTAATACAATGGGAGATCTGATGACACTGACTACCTGATCATGGTGACTGTAATACAATGGGAGATCTGATGACACTGACTACCTGATCATGGTGACTGTAATACAACCAGAGATCTGATGACACTGACTACCTGATCATGGTGACTGTAATACAACCAGAGATCTGATGACACTGACTACCTGATCATGGTGACTGTAATACAACCAGAGATCTGATGACACTGACTACCTGATCATGGTGACTGTAATACAACCAGAGATCTGATGACACTGACTACCTGATCATGACGACTGTAATACAATGGGAGATCTTAGACACTGACTACCTGATCATGGTGACTGTAATACAACCAGAGATCTGATGACACTGACTACCTGATCATGGTGACTGTAATACAACCAGAGATCTGATGACACTGACTACCTGATCATGGTGACTGTAATACAACCAGAGATCTGATGACACTGACTACCTGATCATGGTGACTGTAATACAATGGGAGATCTGATGACACTGACTACCTGATCATGGTGACTGTAATACAATGGGAGATCTGATGACACTGACTACCTGATCATGGTGACTGTAATACAACCAGAGATCTGATGACACTGACTACCTGATCATGGTGACTGTAATACAACCAGAGATCTGATGACACTGACTACCTGATCATGGTGACTGTAATACAACCAGAGATCTGATGACACTGACTACCTGATCATGGTGACTGTAATACAACCAGAGATCTTAGACACTGACTACCTGATCATGACACTGACCTGATCATGGTGACTGTAATACAATGAGATCTGATGACACTGACTACCTGATCATGGTGACTGTAATACAACCAGAGATCTGATGACACTGACTACCTGATCATGGTGACTGTAATACAACCAGAGATCTGATGACACTGACTACCTGATCATGGTGACTGTAATACAATGGGAGATCTGATGACACTGACTACCTGATCATGGTGACTGTAATACAACCAGAGATCTGATGACACTGACTACCTGTAATACAATGGGAGATCTGATGACAGTGACTACCTGATCATGGTGACTGTAATACAACCAGAGATCTGATGACACTGACTACCTGATCATGGTGACTGTAATACAACCAGAGATCTGATGACACTGACTACCTGATCATGGTGACTGTAATACAATGGGAGATCTGATGACACTGACTACCTGATCATGGTGACTGTAATACAACCAGAGATCTGATGACACTGACTACCTGATCATGGTGACTGTAATACAACCAGAGATCTGATGACACTGACTACCTGATCATGGTGACTGTAATACAACCAGAGATCTGATGACACTGACTACCTGATCATGGTGACTGTAATACAACCAGAGATCTGATGACACTGACTACCTGATCATGGTGACTGTAATACAACCAGAGATCTGATGACACTGACTACCTGATCATGGTGACTGTAATACAATGGGAGATCTGATGACACTGACTACCTGATCATGGTGACTGTAATACAATGGGAGATCTGATGACACTGACTACCTGATCATGGTGACTGTAATACAATGGGAGATCTGATGACACTGACTACCTGATCATGGTGACTGTAATACAACCAGAGATCTGATGACACTGACTACCTGATCATGGTGACTGTAATACAACCAGAGATCTGATGACACTGACTACCTGATCATGGTGACTGTAATACAACCAGAGATCTGATGACACTGACTACCTGATCATGGTGACTGTAATACAATGGGAGATCTGATGACACTGACTACCTGATCATGGTGACTGTAATACAACCAGAGATCTGATGACACTGACTACCTGATCATGGTGACTGTAATACAACCAGAGATCTGATGACACTGACTACCTGATCATGGTGACTGTAATACAACCAGAGATCTGATGACACTGACTACCTGATCATGGTGACTGTAATACAATGGGAGATCTGATGACAGTGACTACCTGATCATGGTGAATGTAATACAACCAGAGATCTGATGACAGTGATTACCTGATCATGGTGACTGTAATACAACCAGAGATCTGATGACACTGACTACCTGATCATGGTGACTGTAATACAACCAGAGATCTGATGACACTGACTACCTGATCATGGTGACTGTAATACAACCAGAGATCTGATGACACTGACTACCTGATCATGGTGACTGTAATACAACCAGAGATCTGATGACACTGACTACCTGATCATGGTGACTGTAATACAACCAGAGATCTGATGACACTGACTACCTGATCATGGTGACTGTAATACAACCAGAGATCTGATGACACTGACTACCTGATCATGGTGACTGTAATACAACCAGAGATCTGATGACACTGACTACCTGATCATGGTGACTGTAATACAATGGGAGATCTGATGACACTGACTACCTGATCATGGTGACTGTAATACAACCAGAGATCTGATGACACTGACTACCTGATCATGGTGACTGTAATACAACCAGAGATCTGATGACACTGACTACCTGATCATGGTGACTGTAATACAACCAGAGATCTGATGACACTGACTACCTGATCATGGTGACTGTAATACAACCAGAGATCTGATGACACTGACTACCTGATCATGGTGACTGTAATACAATGGGAGATCTGATGACACTGACTACCTGATCATGGTGACTGTAATACAACCAGAGATCTGATGACACTGACTACCTGATCATGGTGACTGTAATACAACCAGAGATCTGATGACACTGACTACCTGATCATGGTGACTGTAATACAACCAGAGATCTGATGACACTGACTACCTGATCATGGTGACTGTAATACAATGGGAGATCTGATGACACTGACTACCTGATCATGGTGACTGTAATACAATGAGATCTGAGATCTGGTGACTGACACTGACTACCTGATCATGGTGACTGTAATACAACCAGAGATCTGATGACACTGACTACCTGATCATGGTGACTGTAATACAACCAGAGATCTGATGACACTGACTACCTGATCATGGTGACTGTAATACAATGGGAGATCTGATGACACTGACTACCTGATCATGGTGACTGTAATACAACCAGAGATCTGATGACACTGACTACCTGATCATGGTGACTGTAATACAACCAGAGATCTGATGACACTGACTACCTGATCATGGTGACTGTAATACAACCAGAGATCTGATGACACTGACTACCTGATCATGGTGACTGTAATACAACCAGAGATCTGATGACACTGACTACCTGATCATGGTGACTGTAATACAACCAGAGATCTGATGACACTGACTACCTGATCATGGTGACTGTAATACAACCAGAGATCTGATGACACTGACTACCTGATCATGGTGACTGTAATACAACCAGAGATCTGATGACACTGACTACCTGATCATGGTGACTGTAATACAATGGGAGATCTGATGACACTGACTACCTGATCATGGTGACTGTAATACAACCAGAGATCTGATGACACTGACTACCTGATCATGGTGACTGTAATACAACCAGAGATCTGATGACACTGACTACCTGATCATGGTGACTGTAATACAACCAGAGATCTGATGACACTGACTACCTGATCATGGTGACTGTAATACAATGGGAGATCTGATGACACTGACTACCTGATCATGGTGACTGTAATACAACCAGAGATCTGATGACACTGACTACCTGATCATGGTGACTGTAATACAACCAGAGATCTGATGACACTGACTACCTGATCATGGTGACTGTAATACAACCAGAGATCTGATGACACTGACTAC